TTATGAGAAGCTCTTATTCTTTAAACTTTTCATACCTTCACATTGCCCCGGCTCAGCAGTCTCGCAGGACTCACATCTGCTGGCTTCAAGAGGCAAACCAAGGAAAGGATTGGACAGCTGGCTAGAATGGCTGATAGAACAGTCCCTAATGGATGCTTTACAGTACTGAAAATATCAAGAAATAATTATTTTTCCACCAGAAAAATCAGAAATGGCATCATTCATTGAAATGGTTCACAGTAAAGTGTAGATTATCAGTTGGAAGCAATTTTCTAGCTTCCTATGAATAAGAGAAAATTGATTATAATATTAACGACAGCAAAACAAAGGAAAAGTGCTAAACTCTGCCATTATGATTCCGAAGTAACTGGAGATAAGTATTTCAGATTCATGTCATTAAAACTTTTCGTTTTTTCCTTCAGAAAATTAGGACAGGAAATTTTTGACTGAAAAAAAATAAGAGAAAGAACCACTACCTTGTGGGCCCAGCCAACCCTCCTGAAACTTAAACTGTTCAAAGAAAGGAAGTGAAGGAATCATATATACTTACAATTTCTTGACTGCTTGGCAACCCAAATCGGATTCCTGTTATCTTAGCATCAAAAATTGTAGATGATGGACTTTCTTCCATTCCCTTTAGACACCTGAGATTATGGAAGACGAAATATATTCCAATCAGCAATCAGTAATTATTTGGGGAAAGTAGAACACACGAGTATACAACATTTCAAAATGAGTGTAGAAAGCAAAATATGAACGTAAGAAAAAAAGTGATATAAACAAAACTCAGTTAAAGCGAAAACACCAGACTTTAAGTACTTGAAGCAGAGAGGAAAACAACTAGAAAGCAAAATATGAACGTAAGAAAAAAAGTTATATAAACAAAACTCAGTTAAAGCGAAAACACCAGACATTAAGTACTTGAAGCAGAGAGGAAAACAACCCTTCTAAACATCCAACTTCCTGCGTCTATAGAGAATAAACCAATTTTGTTTTACATTTTGACCGAAAACGGTAAAATGTGGAGAAGTGTTGAACAAAAGTTTAGAGAATTACATTTCGTAGAATATATGGAAATTAAAACACCAAAAAATCTCATACACCAAACCCATGTTTCAACCTCCAAAACAACCCAAGAAAAGGTGGAGGAGAAACGAAACCCAAACCCACTATAAAACTCAAATAAATTAATACATAAAAAATAAAAAGCCATCGGAAGCAAAAACAATTCAACGAAAATGAAAAATTTAAAAATCACACGGATAAATTTAATAATATAACGAAAGGTACATTTTCCTTTTTCACGCGAGAGAAAATAGATATTTATGTTTAGAAAAGCTCATAAAAACATAAAATAGACAGCAAATCGAAGCAAAACACACATGCAAATACGTGAAAATCCACTTCTATCTCATAGCGCGGGTTACTTCAGCGCTGTAGCGCAGTGTGTTAGAACATTGACTTGAGTCAATTACCTGCCCTTTTAGCTAGTGAAATAAAAAAATGAAAATTAAATTGCATTCGAAACAAAAACATAACAACATGGAAGAAAAAAATAGATTAATTATTTTAAACAAATAACCCTAAACTTTATACGATAAAAGACCTTTCATTTCTTAGGATTTATCCCACAGGAAAAGACAGTTTTGTCATTTCCATCCATTACCAAGAGAATCTCAGTAAGCAGCAACCTAAGGTTTTTAGAACACTAAATTTACTTCTAGTATGTCAATGGCTTACCTAATGGGCAAATAAATTGGACGGCAGCAACTAATAAAAGGATTATTCTAATCTTGGAACTAAAATAACCCCGTCGAGTTATACTATTGACTGCTAAAGTTATCCATGGTAGATGCAAGTTCAAGAAACACATCAACATAATTCCAAATCCAGCTTCAAAAAATCATAAAGCTTGAAACTTGAAACTAAAAGCTGGGTTGACAAAACATCGCTCAATCAATATGTTGATTCTTTGTTTTCACAATATCGTGATTAGATACGTCCTTGCACCATCAAATATCAGCAGCACATTAAATTACAGAAACACGAAGGTTCAAGAAAAAAAAAATGCCACATTAACTATAGCTGATTACGTAGTCATAAAACATATTGAAATGCATTCTTTGAAATGAGAAAGATTTAAATGTATGTAAGTAGATTATTTCAAAAAATCACTATGTCAACGCCTGACTCAAAATATAGGTGGGTAATCTAATTCAGATTCTTATTTTTCATTTCTCTCACTCTCACTTCAGAAAAAATAACTCAATGACAAAATAAAGCAGAAGACTGAGGTGGTGAAATAGATGGGGAGCCAATGCATACATACTGCAGAGTCGAAAGCAGTGCACATAAGTTCCTTTCCTTTCCAGTCGCCCAGCTCTTAATGTTAGCGTCAAGAGATTCTCCTAGTCTCTGCAATTAAAAATTAATAATAAGTTAAAAAGACATTCAGTGCACCTGGAATGATAATTTCAAATTTTTTGGAAGAAATATTACATTTCTCTCAGCTTGCTATTTCTGAGCAAGAAGATCATGCACATTCTTCTCTGCAAGCGCTTTTGCGTATTGAACAGGAAAAAAAAGATAACAAGCCCTTCAAGCAATCTAAAAAATCAAACAGTTAAATAAACAACAGTAAGGTATGTGTACCGCTCGCTCCATTATCCTCTGATGGAGAAAGACTGATAGAAGAAGAAATCAAAGTGGTGTCTAAGAAAATAAATTGGGTAATATTGGCATAAAAATATATGATATCAGTCTTACAACAGAAATGATGCAATTTGAACAGTGTAAGCAAGTTCTCTCTTTTATATATTGTAGAGAAGAGAAGTGTTAATGTTCTGCACTTTTGCCCAGGTTTTCATATGTTGAGAAACTTCATCTTTTAATTTGTTCCTCACATTCACAACAACATAGTTATTAGTCGTCACATTAATTGTGGGACTGGTAAACTTCCCATTTATAGCAATTATAGAGCGATGCAGTTCAAGAATCTTGGCTATTCAAGCCTAAACTTCAAATTTTTAGTACACATTTCTTAGATCCACAGTTGAAGATTCAAAATTATACAATACATATAAATCAAACTAATCAATCTCAATTAAATTATAACCAAACCCACATGACTACAAGCTATAAAATCGACAGATTCTATTCAGAAAAGAGTTGAATGGAAAGAAAAATATACCTACTGTGGAATACCAAGATGAGAAGCAGTAATATAGGAGATACAAATTCACAACGACTCCACATAAAAGTTCTTTTAAAACGGAGTCAACCCATGGAAATCCTATTTTCTCTGTGGCACCTTCTTTCAATCGATGATGATGAAGGCGAACAATACGTCGATCAAAACATAACCTACATTATCATCAGCTCGAAGAAACTGCAGATAGGACTTCTTTATACACAATATTTTTTGTACAAGTGCAATGTACTATTTTATTTTCACTTGGCTTCATAAGAACCTTGATACATGCACTGTTTTTTGCTCTTGATAATGCGACATAAAGTTGTCCATGTGAGAATACAGGTTCAGGTAAATATAATCCAACAAAATCAAGAGTTTGACCTTGAGCTTTATTTATAGTCATAGCAAAGCACACACGGATTGGGAATTGAGTTCTTTTAAATCTAATTGGATTTATATCATTTTCAAAAGGGACAAACGGTATACGGGGTAGAAAAACTCTTTTGTATTTATATTGTCCGACAGTAATTTCAGCATCAATTATATTCCTATCAAATCTTTTACAAATAAGCCTAGTTCCATTGCACAAACCTTCAGATGGATTTATGTTCCTCAATAAAATAATTGGGCAATTCTTTTTCAAAATTAATTCATGTGGTGGAACACCATTAGGAGTTAAAGTATTAAAAAAATCTTCATCAAATGACCGTGCATTTAAATTGACTGGTTCATCAAAACTATAGTATTTAACAGAATCACCTGGGAACTTTTCGATTAACATAGCATTTATAAAATCAACGTTCTCATTTTTGGGACATAATATGATTCTATTAATCATAGCTTCAATATTATCTACATAGGTATTTAATTCAGGGAACACAACATTTATCAAATTTTGTACAGGAATGGTTTCATTATCATGTGGAATAATCATTTCATCTGGTAATTTAATCATATTGCATGAATGTAAAGGTTCAATCCCATTTCCAATTCGAAGTAAATACTCGGAAAAAGGTAAATCTAATTGAGCTCTCATATTTTGAACTAATTTGATTTTTTTAATAAATGGCCATAAATATGAATTAACTAATGTTGCACCAACAATATCTTCCTTTTCTCTGTTCGGAACAACGGGTAATATTTGACGGAAGTCACCTCCAAAAACTACAACTTTGCCTCCAAATGGAAGTTTACTTTCAGTTATATCTTGTAACATCTCATTTAACGATTCAATAACTGCTTTATTTAACATAGGAGCTTCATCCCATATTATTAATTGTGTCATTCTCAATAATTCGGCTAAAGATGATTGTTTACTAACAGAAGTAGTCGATTTACTGCTAACCTGAAGTGGGAGCTTAAATCTTGAGTGAGCAGTCCTACCTCCAGGAAGTAATCCTGCTGCCACTCCAGAAGATGCAGTGGCCAAAGCTACCATTCCTTTACATCTTACAGCTGCAAGTAAAGACCGATATAAAAAAGTTTTTCCTGTACCTCCCGGACCATCAATAAAATACACACCATTGATTTTTTTGAAGACATCATTTAAAATAATATCGTATGCTTTTCTTTGTTCTGAATTTAATTTTGTTTTGCTTACAATATCTTCATTTGAAACTAATATATGCAATTCATCCGTAATAGTTTTGGACATATGATTGTTCTCTTCCAACAAAATATGGTGTTGAACTATTCGATAATCATTTATAGTTCTACCTGAAAGTTGTAATATGTCATTCAAATCATTCAAAACGTTCAGTTCAGCTAGTTTAGTACTCGTACCTTTCATTATATAATCTTCTATCATATATTGTTTAAAATTATTCCATAATTTTTGCGGATCATGTGGATCGCACAACGTTAATATAGTAGCAAACAATTCACGCAATGTTGAGGGCATTTGATATTGAGAAGCTTCTTGCAAACACATTTCACAATCAGTATCACCATTAAGCAAACCATGCAATAATGCAGCTTCACGAAATGTTAAAGCATGAATTCCGTTCACATTTTTCAAATCTTCATAAGAAATAGCTCCCTTCACATGGTTTAACAATTTTCTTAAATAATACCTTTCTCCTTCTATAATATTTACAGAAACAATTCGTCCTATAGAGGATGATTTATTTTTTCTCTCAGACCAGATTTTACATTGTGAATTCCACACAAAATGTTCTGGAAATTCTCTGTACAACAACGTTTTTGCTTTTGAATTACTAATATTCATCCGAAAGTATTCTGTTAACATTGATTTTTTGAAATGATCTTTTTTCACAATTTCTTCTAAATCATCGAATTCTTTATATGTAACAGATTGATAGTTTTCTAGGTGCAATTGGAGAGGAATAACAGAAGGATTCATATCATATAACAAAAATCCAAAAATTCTCCATACAGCTTCAGGTGGAGATACCCATCTAGCTGATTGGTACATTCTAATTTCATCATAAACAAAATTAGGGTCATTTTCATCGACAGTAAAAGTAATTTTATCGTGACCTTTATAAACATATTTATATAAATATTTAACTGCTTGAATTGATGAACATATCTCAACATTAATATGGCAATTATATTTCGTTAATAAGTATCCGTTGTATGGCACAACCCACCTATTATCTAAAAAATGATTTCTAACTTTTACTTTTTTCTCGTTATTAGGTCGCTTATAATTAGGGTAACAATTTTCATCAATAATGGTGTTCTCATTGAATTTTTTGGGATAACTAAATTTACATTTTTTCTTATTATTCATACAAACATTTTTTGCATTTAAAATACCGCATGGACCATGCATCATATGTTTAACAACAAGAGAATGTAGATATGGATATTGAATTTCATCAGGAATTTCAGCACTAACAAATTTATCAACTAATACAGGAGATGTGATTTTACAATTATTCTCTAGAATGAGCAAAAAATGCACATGTGGTAGCCCTCTTTTCTGAAATTCTATAACATATATATGTGCGGCAACACGCCCAAATATTTTTTCTTTCAATATATCATCCTTTAATTGTTCAACTTTTGCTCTAAAAATACGAGCTATTAAATCAGGTCTATTTTGAGCTTCATCATTATACCTCATTTGTTCTTTAATTTCTGGCCAATTTGGATTGCAAGTCATCGTTAAGAATATATCAGGCTTTCCAAATCTCTGAACTAAAGACATAGCATCCATATAACGTTTTTTCAAATCTCTAGGACCACCAATAAAAGATCGAGGTAAAACAATCAAGCGGCCAATTTTACCACCTCTTTTTTCACCGATGTGAAGACTATCTATAATTCCTTGATATAATTCAGCTCGAAGCACACTCTGATTATGTCGAAAATAATCTAATCTAGATGTTTCAATTTTCACATACATGTCAACGACATATTGCTGCAGTAATCTTCCAGAATGTAATAATATTGAAGCTGTTGATGGTCTTATTTGTAGTTTATAACAATAATATTCTCTACATGATACTTGCATCCTGGGCTTTCTATTTTCCATTACTACAATTTTAAAAACAACATGTCAATAAATCACATCACAAAGTGTAAATAAATATAAAAAGAAAGTATAACAGACTGTATAGAATTTTTTTTATGCATAACCCGAAGTAAAATTGTTAGAGATCATAAACTAACCTATTGTTTCTTTCTCAATTAACTCCTCGGGAGATGAGAAATTTACCGCATCAACGATGTTTTCATTTGTGCAAATGGGCGGCCTTTTTTCGTTTGTATTAATTCGCTTTATACCTTGGTGCCAACCTGTTTCACCATAAGGAAACAAAAGTGGGTATTGAAGTGGGTCATAACATCCATAATAATATTGTATTCTATTGTGGTTTCCATCTTTACAGTGAACTACAATATCACGCATACGAAGATCCTCACAGTCATCATGATCAACCCAAATAGCAGCAACTTGCGATACATTGGGTGTATTAAATGTTCTTTGATCAGTACTTGGATTACATCTCAATTGAATAGAATGATTTTCTAAATCCGGAATACTCCCTAAAGTTCGGAAAAATGTTGTATAAGGATTATCTTCTAAAATCTTCATCAATTTCACAATAACAGATTCAACTAACCATTCACTTAAATTTAATCTATTTTGCACTTCATTATCAGTATCAAAAAAGTAAAGTTGCAAATGAGATGGATGATTGTCTCTTGGAAGAATTTCATTCATAAAATGGTATATCTGACCCTGAACTCTAAATGTATAAATACCGTTATAGTTTGTACATAATGTTTTATCATAATTCACACCAAACGATGTCATAGAAAAGTTACAATTATAGCTTCGGACCATTTTTCGGAAATTTAAAGATTCTTCAGAATCTGAAATAAACAATGTATATAAATCTAGAGGGACATCGTTCGTTTTTAGAACAATTTGACCACTTAAACAACAAAATCCCTTTGTTTCTCTAAAGAATTTAACAGCGCCACAATACTCACAAATAGTAGTTCTAGGTAGCACATAAGGTTCCGAGAAAATATTATCATCAGAATGCCGCTCATTTAAACACCCTAATAAGTAAAAAAAGGAAAACAAACATTCAATCATGAAATATAAATGAATACTACATTCTGTTAAACTCACTGTACCATGACAACTTGAAGGAACAGAGTAATTCAAACAAAACCAATACAGTGATTCTCACCAGATTGTTCTCCAGTTTTTACTCTCCTTTTTTTCCGTTGTTCATCACATGCATCTCCCGTTAAAGTAGCAACCTTTCGTGCTTGTTTAGCACTAAATTTAGTTACAGCTGAACTCCCTGAACCTATACATTAAAATGAATTATTGAAACGTAAACCATTAATCGCAAGATTTTTACTCATCATTCACAAAAAAGAAATGCAACATTACAAAAAAAAAACTACAAAAATTTAAATTAATCAAGATGACAAATAAATTATAAAAATAGATACTAACCAGAACAAACTGATAATATAGCGGGAACTTCTCTATTCCAATAAAATGATTGAGTTCGCCTTGACCTTCGAACAGGGTGCCCATATTCACGCAAATTATTACTTCCTTCCATAGATATGCTGCAATTGTATATATTGTATACAAACAAAAACCTAAGTTTCTTTAAAAAATGTATTTAAACAATGCGTCAAGGAAAGAAGCTCACATACAGTAAAGAAATTCAAACGCAAATTGTAAAATATAACACTCACTGAAGTACGAAACAGACATGCACCAACATGTACTCATTCATTGTTGATAAAATCTAAAAATATCTCCAATGTATTTCAGTGTACAATTACGTACATAGCACGCAAAAAAGCCCAAATAAATATGATTCAAAATTGCTTCCAACCCTCGTCAACAGAAATCAATTCAAAAGCTCCATTTTTTGGAGTTTTCAAAACAGGGACATGGGAAGTATACGTGACAGAAAATTGGTGAAAACAACAATAATAAATAAGAATTAGTACAGTGGCCACTAATCTCATCCTGAAAACAATTCCAATAAGTCTTCAAAGATTAGTATGGCTTTATTGTCTCAACCATTATGCAAATCAATTCCGACTCACAATACAAGAGCACAAACATAGAAGATTATTATTTATCAGACTAACTTTCATTTCAATTCACAAACATAGATTTCCAGAATGGACAGTTAATTAAGCTGACAAAATCTCAGGTCAAAACAACTGAAGCAATTTTTTTATAAAGTACATAATTAAGAACATATATAATCTTAATGCACGTAAATGAAAATGTATTAAGTAATGAAATAGGCAATTACAACCGTGACAGATAAGAATCAATATTTGAACTGGCGATTTTAAGATGAAGGTTCATTCACCAAACGTATTGCAGCTAAAAAACATACCAAAACTCATCAGAACTGACTGAAATACTCATTAGCAACTTATAAATAGTTGAAATGTCAATACCAAATAGAATTATTCAAATCAGCACCTTGTATTGCTTCTTAATGTGTGCTTCCTTAGTCCCACGAACCTCTGCAAGTGCCTTAGCAATATACATAGAAACTGAATGAGTGAAATGAGTAAACGAAATCTACACTCGTGAACAAAATTTCAGAAATGATAAAACCAATAGCAAAACCTAACAAAAACAAACGTATCATACCGAAGAAAGCACTGCGATACCGAGCGAAATCGAAACTGGATCTGAAAGGGCGAAAATAATAGATGATGAAATACAGCAAATCGACTGCAGAGAAGAACAATCGAGCGAGATTTCGTTTCAAACAATCAGTACAAATGAAACAAATCAGATCGGTCGCAGACAAGAAAGACCGAACGAAACTGGATCTCAAAGGGCGAAAATAATAGACGATCAAATATAGCAAATCAACTGCAGAGAAGAAGAATCGACCGAGATTTCGTTTGAAATAATGAGTACAAACGAAACATAAGAAATCGGTCGCAGAGAAAAAGGACCGAACGGAAGTTCGATAGCCTGCCGATTTCACACCGTTTTAAACCAAATCGAATCGGACGAACTTTGCAGTAAAGCGAAGTCACGATCCGAAAGGGAAAAAACGAATGGATCTGAAAGAAAGAGACGAGAAGAAAAAAAACGAATGGATATGAAAGAAAGAGACGGGAAGAAAGAGACGGGAATAGGGACTCTGTTAGGGTTTCAATGGGGACGAAGGAAGTCGCAAGAAAGAGACGGGAATAGAAGCGTCCAGAGAAAGCGATTGGAGAGAGAAAAAGTTGCGTAAGGAGGAAGCGAAATTGACCAAAAAAGGACGGCAAATCCACAAAATATCTCCCCCAACTCAGCTCACACGGCTCCACGCGACGGCTACGCTTAACGGCTCCAACAAGTGGCCAAATGGCTTAACAACAGTAACAAAAAAGTCCACTTTTATATATTGTAGAGGAAATAATGCATTTCAAATATGTCATTGTTAATGTGTAATATTTAAAAGGTGTATATGTCGTATATCAATTCACGATCAAGAATTAGTAGTTCATTTCTAAACAAAGAAAACGGTACATTTTTGTGTAGGGTTGGGCTGTCGACCTCTAATTCTAAAGCAAGTTGCTAGTTCTGATTAAAAAAGAAATAATAGACCTCGACACTAGAATTTTAAAATATTCTACACTAGAATTTTATTACAATATTGTAATAAAATTATTTGGGTAAAAGAGTTCAAACTAAACATGTAAATGTGTTGGTGCAGGGCTTGCACGAGCCGCAACTTGGTGAATCATCTTGTCCAAATGAACATAGTAGTTAAATAAAATTTTTTGTTAAATATTATCTTTTAAAAAAGAAAAGAAAATTAAAAGCATCTCACTTACTGTTTATTCCCAACTCACACGTCACAAGACATCAAGGTCCCAACTCCCAAGTCCATGCAAGATTCCATGCTCATTTATTTTTATTTTGCACGTGTTTTACATACAAAACACCAAGTCCACCCTCATTTCTTAAGAGTAAAAAAAAAAAATATATTCATTTTCAATCCCACATTTTATGTTTTTACTTAGTAAATATTATTACCTTTTTACCAATTTGTTAGAAATAACTTATGTTCTCTTTAAAAATATGATAAATCTATTATTTTTGTTTGATAAAAAACTTAAATTTAAAATTAACTTTAAATGAGAATGGTAGCAGGGCGGAGACTATAATTCTCGTACACGCTTCGGGACAATGACCCTCGCCCCATCCCCGTCATGTTTACCCGATTAGGCAGGTAATCCCCTCCACGGATTTCAGATTGAACAGATTTTTTTGTCATCCCTACATAGAAGGAACAATTGCAGGGCCTAAAAGCCATGTATGTATGTATGCGACCGCATGCCTTTTGGCCTCCAATTCCATTTCTCATTCCAAATCATATTTTATTAATATTGAACAATAATTTCAACAGGAAGCACGACAGTGGCTTTGAATCTGTACTGAAGCCTGCCTCCTTAATTCTAAAGGTGAAATTGGTGAGCTTTTGATACTCTGGAAGCCTCTTCCAGCAAATTAGAGATCACAAAAGAACATCTTAGATACAATGTAAGGTCTATTGACGCAAACAATTAATTGCTCGAGCACCATCAGACATGAAATTCTAAATAGACTCATAGAAGCATAAGCTTTGATTATGGCCAACGCATTGAGTGAGAGCTAGGCTTTTCAAGAACGATACACTTGAACCACTAACTTCCATTTAAAAATAAGATCAAACGAAGACTATTGAAACTTCTTGTTAGTCTCTTATTGTTATCTGTAGAGTCTATTGGTTACATGGAAAAGTTTGATAATGGCACAAGTTTTGATGTCAAGCATCCATTTATAAGGAATCGAGTAGGTGGGCAAGACTGTAAAAGTTGCTGGCAAATAAATTCTAGACTATGACTATGTTGAAGGTGTTATTTTAGACTAAGTTAGGATTTTTTTTTTTTTTTTTTCAAAAACTCATTTTTAATCATATTCTCCCATAAAATAATTTTACCTTATTTTTTAATCACACATTCTCCAAAAAAATCATTATTTCAAAAGACATTTTCTTACAAAATGGGATTCATACAGGGACTTACCCCTTGTTTATTTGCCATTTTGTCCATACTATAATGAGTTTTTTTTTTGACCGTTGGCCACCTGCAATTCATTGAAAATGTGAGATGCCGTGCCTCGGGACATATCCGAGATGGCAAAGACAGTACAAGGTTGGGCTTGCAACCCTAGTGTGGGGAGTTCGAATCACGGACATAGTAGCCAAGTGTTGTAATACCCAAACCATGTGGTGGAGCAGCTTGGTGATGTAAAAGCCGGCGCAGGAGGGCTCCCTTGGGGCTAGGACATGGACACTAGCTTGATTGGGCATAACCCACGATTTACCTCCGCCCAGAGTTGAGGCACCAATTTTGGGTGGTCCAGGATATAGTCTGGTGTAAATTGGGATACTTGGGTATCAAAAAAAAAAAAAAGTGAGATGCCAATTGAAAAAGGGGTCAAGTGGGGCCACCAACGCTAATTTCTTCTAAAAATGAAAAACAAAATGACAAACAAGCGAGGGCTTAGTGTGTAAAATGTGCCTTTGCATTTGATCTTGTGCCAACATCACACGTACAAATACTTGCCCCTATTTTTTTTTTTTTTTTTGAGGGAAACATACCAAAATCTCATTAATCAATCATATGAGAAGCATCATAGTTCACCAGATTCACAATGGGTTCTGGAACCTCTTCACAACACATAAAATCAATCCTAGAGTTTTTCGCCAAAAGCGCTAATTCATGAGCCACCTGATTGGTCTGTCTTGGGGCGTGTCGAATTTTACAATTTCCCATACGAGCCATGAGGAAGCTACAGTCCTCAGCTATATTCAACACCTGGGAGAACGGGGGATGAAGACTAATGGCTTGGACCGAAAGCAGGGAATCCGTTTCAACAATGTTCACCCTTAGCCCCGAATCTACTACGAATTCCAGCCCCTCTCTAATGGCCAAAATTTCAGCCGTGAGTGGAGAGTAATTTCCTTTAAACACTTTGCCCAGCGAAACCATTACCTCCCCACGGTGATTGCGAACAACAGCCCTATTTGTTATAGCTAAATATCATATTTTTAATATAGTTCAATAAAAATTTGATAAAATATCTAATTAAAAAGTCGTGAATACCATGAAATCGAGTTTGGAAAAAAAAAAGTATAAACCAAAGCAAGGGCTTATTGTTCATTTGACATGACTTTTACCTTTACTTTTATTTTTTTTAAAATGACTTTTGAAAGAAGTTACCTTAATTTTTTTTGGAAACTTAATTTTAAAAAAATTTTCTATTTTATAAGTGCTTTTGATTTTCTTTAGAACCTCTTCTAACTAGAAGAAGCACATTCGTAATAATAACGAACAAATAGAAACTCAAAGAAAACAATGCTCAAAAATTGAGATTATCATATAACAAAACTGTGAATCCACTAGTAATACCTAAAGTTGTGGTGAAAAACACTAACTGATAGTTTTAAATCCATGCGCAATACTTACTGGGAAGTGATAAAACTGGATATTATATGCAAAATTTAACAACTGATATCTAATATTGCGCAATCTGAAAAAGGCATTTTAGTCCACTAGCAGAGGCACGTTTATAAGCTACATGGCATCTAAAACATACTGAAGGCAATACCCCTCATAATACAGAAACTCGTAAAAAAGGAAATCAAAACACAATATAACAAAGGGCCAGCTGGGAAGGGCAGACTATGCCCATTCAATCATTTTCATTACGAAAAGCGTTTATTCAACTGTAGAAAAATTCTCATTTAAGGTGTAGTGAACCGGAGGAGTTCAGATGTCAGGTGCCTATATCGACTCACTTGGAACTGGCAAGCTGGGATCTGAGAAGCTTGCAAGCAGCAACCATGTTTTCAAGAGCTGGTTTCACTTCAGTGTACTTGCGAGTCTTGAGACCACAGTCGGGGTTGACCCACAAGATGTTGGTTTCAAGAACTGCAAGCATCTTGTTAATTCTATCGGCAATCTCTTCTGTTGATGGTATCCTGGGGGAGTGAATGTCGTAAACGCCAGGCCCAATTCCAGCACTGTACTTCACTCCCTCGCGGAAAACAGAGAGGAGCTTCTCGTCGGAGCGAGAGTTCTCAATGGTGATGACATCAGCATCCATGTTGATGATAGACTGGATGATATCATTAAAGTTGGAGTAGCACATATGTGTGTGAATCTGTCGGTTATAAAAGATGAGCTCAGTGTACCAAACATGAAGAGACCAAAGTAAAAGCATAATCGTATTGAAAGAACATAAGAAAAGCACCTGGGTGGTATCCTGGACGCCTACGTTGGTGATTCTGAAAGAGTGGACAGCCCAATCCAGGTAGAAAGCATGCTCAGCTTTCCTAAGTGGTAACCCCTCTCTCAATGCAGCCTCATCGATTTGGATAACAGTAATGCCGGCCTTCTCAAGATCCTCTACTTCATCCTTAATGGCCAAAGCAATCTGGTAGCAAGTTTCGAATCTGGAAACCAAGAAAATATCAAGTCACTTATAATCTGAATGACCAGAAAGAAGATAAAGAATTATTCCATCTCTTCTATTACAAATAACAGCTTAGAGGGACAAAGGGAGCTGGAACCCCCATGTACCTTGGTTGGTCATTTCGAACGAAAGACCAGTTGAGAATGGTAACAGGGCCAGTAAGCATTCCCTTCATTGGGCGCTTGGTCATGCTCTGGGCAGCTGTGGACCAGAAGACAGTCATTGGCTCGGGCCGACTTACATCACCATAGATGATTGGTGGCTTCACGCAGCGAGATCCATAAGATTGAACCCACCCATTAGCAGTGAATGCAAAGCCGGATAATTGCTCTCCAAAGTACTCAACCATGTCATTTCTCTGGAATTTACACAACCCGAAATGTAGAAGTTATATTTTTGGATAAACTATTGGTGCATAAAGGATGCATCAAAATAACTACCCATCTAGTCTAAACAATGGGAAATTTTCTTTATTTGTTTCACAGACTAGAGCTTCTAATAGCGTACCTCTGGCTCTCCATGAACCAGAACATCAATGTCAAGCTCTTCCTGAAGCTTGACAACTGTGTTGATCGATGGTCTGAGGAAAGGATCCAATTGTAGTGGTTGGAAGGATTGGAAGGTTAAGCTTCTTCTGTTGAGCATCCAGTCTAGCACTGACATCAGTGGCACGACGGTGGTCAGAACCTTTCAAAGCAGCAGCCTGATCAACCATAGGTAGTAAACATTGGTGATTATAAAACAATTTCAGCAGCAACAATACCCTCAAAAGTTCAGATGAAATGGTATGCAGGTTAATCACTTACAGCCTTTTGGACAGCTTCATTAGTCACCCTTGGAGAGGATTTCCTTGAGGCCTGGGCTACAGCATTGGCAGAGAAGAATGCGTGAAAAGTGAACAGCAGCCAAATGTGCAGGGTCAATAATAATGTGAGAGACAAAGAAAAGCATAATTTAGGGGACTAAAGTTTGCAACCAGTTTCAAGATACTACTGTCAAACACCATCTGGATTTATATTTCTAAGGACAAGAAGTAGATGTATACCTCGTCTTTCTGATCCGTCAATGCCTTTGCCAAAGCATTTACTTCAATAACTTTTTGGGAAGCAAATGCAAGCCATGATTTAATTTCTGTGTCAAGCTTAGGTTCATTAACCAGATCGACAGCAGTGTGGAGAAGTGAGCAGGAGGTGGAGACAACGAGCTTGTCTGCATCACCAAAATCATTAGAACAATGTGTCGATAAAAGCAAAACTTCAAAAACTAGCAGCAAAATATTTGGACAACTTTCCCTTCCCCACAATGCCTTCTACAGACTTCAGGGTGATGAGAGATGCATCCAGATCATTAGCCCAAATGTTTCGTCCATCAACCACTCCGGCAAACAGGTACTTTCCAGAAGGGAATCCACTCTTTATCAAATCCAAAGTCTTGGTGCCGCGTACTAAGTCAAAACGAAAAGCAGTAACTCCCTTCGGAGAGGTAAGTGTTTTATATGCGTCCCCGGGGATATCAGAGAAGTAGGTCTCAACGAGAACATCAAATCCAGAGAGACTTGACTCGAGTTCAGCATAGGCCTTAGTGAAGGCTTCCAATTGGTGATATTCGAGATCCATCACTAGAGTGGGCTCATCAAACTGAATCCATGAAGCACCAGCTGCCTTCAACTCAGCAATTACTTCCCTGAAAGAGTATTGCATATTTGGATAAAGATTCAGTTAAGCAAAATGAATATGGAGATGACACCATAAGAAAAAACTGAAAAACTAATTGCTCTTACTTGTAGATAGGAAGAATTTTGTCAAGAAGAGATAGAAGAGGGAAAGTTTTCTCAACACCCTTGGCAGGCTTTGAGAGCAACAAGTATGTAACAGGGCCAACAAGCACTGGAATGGAATCTACGCCAATCTGCATGAGGGAAATGTGATTAGTTACCAGTATATAAAAGGATCTTTTTATTGATCCTTAAGTCCTGAATAATGTAGGAACTATAAAGTGTTCATAATAATTGTTGGCAGTAAGCTAAAATATTCCAATAGTTAGTGCAAGTTCTTGGTTGCCACTCCTGTAATTGAAAAGTGTTGATTTGCTCCTATTTTTTAATCAAATTGTAAAACAGTCGTTTTAGCTCATTAAATAAGTAGGCATCAGATTGAAGAACAATCACTCATCAAGTAGCATTAAACACAAAACGAGATGTACAGATCACATACCGCCTTAGCCTCGTTGTACTCATTCACTGCTTTGTGGGAAGAATAAGAGAACTTCACATCTGATCCCAATTCAGGAACAATGAAGTGGCTGCATTGATAAATAGACAGCCATTATCGGCAAAATAAACAAAAGGAAGTTTACAATAATTAAAAAAAATTAAGCCATTAGATCAATCACTTACTAGTTGGTGTCGAACCACTTGGTCATTTCCATAGCAGGCACGGAGGCATTTCCTCTGGCCATGGAGAAGTAAGTGTCAAAACCAATCTCATCACCACTCCAGTTGTACCTAGGGGGAACAGCACCGAGCATTGCAGTTGTATCAAGCACCTGATCATAGTACGCGAATGTGTTGCAGGGAACATACTTAATACCAGCATCAGCCATCTGCTTCCAGATGGATACCCTAAGGTTGGCTGCAACCTTTCCAAATCCTCAGCACTGCTCTTGCCATCCCAGAAAGATTCGAGAGCGAATTTCAACTCTCTTTTTGGGCCCATACGGGGATATCCAACAATATGAGATGCCATTTTTCTGGTTCAAGAGTTTCAATCAATCACCATGAGAACACCAGATTTTATTGTTAAAAAATCATGCACCCATGTGGGTTTCCTTCATAGAGTTACATATATGATAAGATGAAGATACTAAATCAACGATGGATTGAAAATTCAAATTATAATGGTTGTTCAAATTTTAAATCAATGATGGATTGAGAATTCAAATTATAATGATAGTTCAAATGAATATAGCTCAGACTATTTAATGTAACTAATATACTAATGCAAACAGATCCATAAAAATTTGAAGTATTCAAGATCCAAAAAAGGATAATAGTACATGCTTAAACATGAAACTGTGAAAGAATGCAGAATGATTTACAAATAACAATTCAGAGCAAAGTACAAGTTCCAGATCTATTAATTTCCAACATCCAAATTAAAAAACTGAGGGAAATGAATCTTGATTGTTTAGGTGATCAGTGCCAAATGCACCGTGTTATATACAAGAGAGTTAGTAGCAAAGAATATTCTAGAAATGAACAAGAAAACTGAATCCAACAAATTCTAACAGCTGGCTAACAAATTGATTGCAATTCCTAAATATCAGGAAATGCAATTCTGCTGATGTCCTTTCCTTCATGCCGGAGCTAGCTGGAGAATAATTCTAACTCCCCCCTTCAAGGTGGAGTGCATTCAAGCACTCCAAGCTTGTCTCTGAGCAGTTGGAATCTCGAGTGTGACATAGGTTTAGTCAACACGTCTGCTGTTTGATATGAGGAAGGGATATACTGTATTTTCAGTCGATTCTCAAGTACCTTATCCCTTACAAAGTGTGCATCTAGTTCTATGTGTTTAATACGAGCGTGATATACAGGATTAGCTGCTAGAGCGCTCGCACTTAGATTATCACACCATATAATGGGAACGGAATGCTGAGGAATTCCTAATTCATTCAACAAGGACTGAATCCATGTTATCTCAGTTGTGCAGTGAGCCAATGCTCTATATTCTGCTTCTGTCCTGGACTTAGCTACCACATGCTATTTTTTAGAGCTCCATGACACTATGTTTTCTCCAAGATACACACAATATCCAGCAGTCGATCTCCTATTATCTGGACAGGAAGCCAGTCAAAATCTGCAAAGGCGGTGATATCAAGGCTGTCATTCCTTTGAATGGTTAGTCCATAACTTAGCGTCCCTTTCAGGTATCTGAAGACCCTCTTAAGAGCTTTCCAATATTCATCTGTTGGTACCTGAAGATACTGACTTAACCTATTCACAGCATGGGTTAAGTCTGGTCTGGTGTGAATTAAATACTGGAGTCCACCTATAGCACTTCTATAAAGAGTGGGATCCCTCATTGATTGACCTTCAGTTTTGGAGATTTGTTTTCCCACGGCCACAGGTGTGATGCTAGGTTTCAAATTTTCATAACCAAATTTTCTCAATAACTCAGTAGCATATCTAGTTTGCTTTAGGTGTAACCCAGCTGCATCTCTTGTAACTTCAATTCCCAAAAACTACCTTAGCTTCCCCATATCCTTAAATGCAAAACTATGGTCGAGCTTGTCAATAAACTCTTGCAACTGCTGATCATTATTACCTGTAATCACGATATCATCCACATAAATCAAGGTAAACAGAATATCAGTTTCTTTAGCCAAGAAAAACAAGAAGTTATCAGCTTTGGATTGTCTGAACTTCCACTCCAGCAAAATCTGTTTCAGTTTATCATGCCAGGCCTTAGGTGCCTTTCTTAGCCCGTATAGAGCCTTCTTGAGTTTGCACACGTGACTAGGATGATTTTTGTTGACAAAACCTTGTAGTTAATTCATGTAGACAACCTCATTCAGATTGCCATTTAGAAAGGCATTATTTATATCCACCTGTCTGATTTGCCAATTCTTTGATACAACAAAAGTTAAAATGATTTTAAGTGTTGCAGCCTTAATCACGGGACTAAAGGTTTCACTAAAGTCGACTCTAGGAGTTTTAAGAAACCCTTTAACCACAAGTCTGGCTTTGTGCCTTGCAACATTCCCATTTGCATCAAACTTCAGCTTAAAGACCCATTTATTACCTATGATCTTCATCCCAACCTTAGGTGAAACTAAGGTCTATGTATCATTCTTCATAAGAGTATTATATTCTTCCTTCATAGCACTCCTCCAATTGTTACTTGTTAATGCCTCATTTGCATCAGTTGGCTCAACTGCAGCCAGTTCATCTGCCGCCACACTAGCATAGACTTTTAGCTTAAAAATTCCAGCCTTGCTCCTGGTAATTATTTGATGTCCATGATTCTGAGTGAGGTTTCTTTCTGGCATAGTAGTTTCACTTGCTGCATTCTGAGTTTCAGCTCTAGCAGGTTGAGTTTCTGACATTTCATTACCTGCTGCTACTTCATGATTCACCTAATCACCTATTACAACTCCACCATTCCCAATTTCAATTTCTCCAGTGACAGAATTAGGTGCAGGGGTGCCATCAAGTTGTATTGTAGGAGCTGCAGTTGCACTTTGAGAGGTGATATGGTTAATAGGATCAATGAAGGGAAGATAGCTTATTCCAATGTCACAGGTCTGAGGTTGAACTTGTTTGTTTAGAAAACCAGTCTTGAATGGAAATTCAAACTCGTTAAAGACAACATGCCTTGAAATGTAAACCCTGCCACTAGAACTTAGACATTTATAGCCTTTGTGGGTATCACCATAGCCCAGGTAAACACATTTTTTAGAGTGAAAAGCAAACTTATGCTTTTGATAGGGCCTAATGCATGGAAAACAGGCACAGCTAAATGTTTTAAGTTGTTTGTAATCGAAAATCTTATTGAACAGAGCTTGGTGTGGTGATTTATGGTCCAAGACAGAGGTAGGTAGTCTGTTAGTCAGGTAGGTGGCTGCTTTAAAGGATTTCCACTAATAATAGAGTGGCATTTGAGCTTGAGCTAAGAGTGTTAAGCCAGTCTCTGTGAAGTGCCTGTGTTTGCGTTCAGCCCTTCCGTTTTGGATTGAGGTATAGTGGCAGGAATGCCTAAGTTCTATACCGCACTCAAGAGCCAATTTGCTAAAATTTCTGAATTCATCACCCCAATCAGACTGTAGAGTTTTAAATTTTCTATTTAGATTGTTTTCAACAAGTTTTTTGAACTGGAAAAAGATAGTTAAGGATTCCGATTTGTGTTTCATGAGGTAAATCCATGTATACCGGCTATGATCATCCACAAAGAGTATATAATATCTAAAACCTGTGGTTGAATTTAAGGGAGCTGGTCCCCAGACGTCCGTATGAACAAGTTCTAGTGGGTTAGTGGCATGTGATAGTGAAGTGTTAAACGGGAGAGCATGAGATTTCCCAAATTTACAGGAATCACAGAAAGTAAGGATTTCATTAGCTTTAATAGTTCTATTACGGACTTAAGGACTTGACTCATCATATGGTTTGAGGGGTGACCAAGCTTTCGATGCCAAAGATCTAATTCTAAAACTGAGGTTTGATTAATTGACGACACTTTGTCACAACTGGGATGAGTTGCATAACACTGGTAATTATTTTGGTGGATTGACTTGAGTGAGGTTCTTTCTGACTTGAGGGTTGGCAACTGCAGCTGATACAATCCGTCCTTAAGTACCCCTTGTTCTGCCTCTAAAGCTTGGGGATCTACCACTACTAGTTCCTCTAAAACCTCTGCCAAATCCTAAACCAGTTCGATGTGCTAACTGGACGCTTGATGGACTAACATTGAGTGAGGTGAAATTATTCTTTACTTGATTCAAGTGTTCAAGTCGACTCTCAAAAATCGTGAGTACTGATGATAGCTCATACCAGGAAACGATTTCTCTGCTAGTTATTTGAACCACTATATGTGTATACTTCTCATCAAGGCCCATAGAATTTGTGTAATAAGATCACTTTGATCAATAACCTTACCTGCTATCTCCAGATTATCAGCCAACTGCTTGATGGTGGTCAGATATTGGTCCATTGTCATGGATCCTTTCCTAATTCTTTGCAGCTCACCAGTTAGGAACATCACACGTGACCTTTTCAATATTCCAAAGCTTTCCTCCACAAACACTTAAGTCTGAAAAATCAATGGAATCAAGAATTCTTTCTGACACAAGTTTTTTCCCATTCTCTTTTGAGAGATGTGACCTAATAGTTTGTGCCACAACAAAGCATAATTCTCATTGGTTAATTTATGTTCAATACCACGTGAATCTATATACAAGGTTTCTTTATAGGAGGCAACCATATTAAACAAATATAGGTTATCGTAACTGGATAAAGAACGAACACCCACAATATTTGAATTAAGAAAAAGATCAAGCTGACTATTTCTAATTGAACAAGAGTAATCAAAGTTGTCTAATGTAGAAATAGAAACCAAATTCCATCTAAAAGGACGGTACCACAAATGTCTCTTTCAAATTCAAATAATAATCACTCTTTAATGATAACCTAAATTCCCTATAGCCTCAACCTTAACTGATTTGTCATTGTCCTAGATAGATGAATCTTTCAGCATCAATTGGTTTGGCAGCTTAGATACCCCGCATAGACACACTTATGTAAGTGGTGGTACCGAAATTTATCCACCAAGTGTGTCTAGGTATTGACACTAGATTTACCTCAAAACAAACCAAAGTGAGAAGTGTACTATAGATCCTAGATTTTCACAAAATTTACAGCTAAATTTATCCTTTTCAGGCTTTTGCTGTTAATTTAAAATCGAACCGGATGTAGCTTTGTTATTCTTTATTACTTGTCCTTAGAAGTGTTCGCCAAATGAACATTTTCAGTTCTGTCTTGCTTCAACCTTTCTTCCTCTTGCACATAATATGAAATGAGCTCATTTAGAGACAATTTCTCCTTCAGGCAGTTATAACTGACCTTAATTAACCGAATTGTGCAGGAAGCGGTATCAGTACCAAATGTACGAGCAAGTCATCAGACAACTTGAGCATTAGTGCCTTAAGTTTGAAGCAATGTGAGACATCTCCATAATGTATCAATACCAAATGTACGAGCAAGTCATCAGACAACTCGAGCTTTAGTGCCTTAAGTTTAGAAGCAATGTGAGACATCTTCATGATGTACTCCCTTATATTTCCTTTACCTTTATACTTTATAGAAATCAAGCTTTGCAAAAGTGTGCTTGTTTCAACCTTATCGTTTTTCGCAAAACATTTCTCAATGTCGACAAGAAAATCCTTGGCATTAGTTACTTCTTCAGATACTGCGTCGCTAAAGGCTTTCGGAATGTCGCGCTTAATGATCATTAGACTCATGCAATTTGAGCGATCTCACTTCTCAAAGTTCATCTTTTTATCAGATGAACGTTCTTCCATAAGAGGAGTGTGTTGCTCAATCCAAAATACAAGATCTAGATCCATGCAGCCAAGAACAATCAATACGTTCTCTTTCCAATCCTTGAAGTTTTGGTTCTAGCATAGGAATTGAATTGATATAGGCAGATTTAAAGAAGTTGATGGATGAACTGAATAGAGAACTTATACTTAATTAATATGTTCACATAGGAATCCGTATTAAACAATTAATAAATTCAAATAATGATAAAC